TCAGATCAACTGACCAGTTGCCTCTTATTCCATTCTTTACTTTTCGTGAGCTGAGTAATGGAACGATTGTCTCAAAAATCCAATGGGCCCTATCTCTCTCGGGTCTTACACAAGATATGTACTGGAACAAGCGCACAGCGATATCGCGCGCCGTCCGAAAATTGTTCATGTTATGCAAGAATGTTAAAGCTTCCACGCTACGGGGCCCTAAAGTGCCGTGTTGTATTTACTATCAAAAAACAATATCAAGTTGAAATTGAAACTTCTCAACTTGGGAAACAAAGTCAATTTACATTTGGTAATTCTGATCACTAGACAAGGATCAAAAGTAACAGCGCTCGTTACGATCCGAACCATCACTTAAGTACCTTATTTGATCCGTATCACAGTATTTCACTAGTGTGGCCATCTCACTGCTTCCAGCACTCACTTCGTCTCCTTGTATTCGTCGCTTGATCGACGATTTGTGTTATTTATAAACATCGTAGAAATTGGTTGAGCACATCTTTCTGCAATGTCGAGGTTAGCCAGACTGAGGCGCTCGCGGGGCGTTCGTTATTGATTGCCGGAGAGTGTTGCAGGGATTATCTCCGCGCCGAGCATCTCTTATCACTAGGCCACTACTCTTCTCATTGAAACCATAAAAAATGCGAGATGTAATTGATTCCATTAAGCATTATAGAAGCAAGAAGATACAATTTGGCTTATCCAACGACTTCCGATGACTCGCCAAAGAATATCACTAGGATTTTTTTCTCTTTTACACAAGTTACAAACGACTACAAATGCTTAACTCAAAGTCTGTTTAGTGGATAACTTTTACAGTGCAAAACAGAATAATAAAGGCGATTCCACATGTGTGGACATTTCGCTGCTGCCATAATCCTTTATATGAGACACATTGTACTAATATCAACAATCATTGTGAGACATATACGACACAGAGCGCATGTGTTGCTGTGATTAGAGGTGCTCTGCGTCCCACACAAGGTCGATGGATCGGTCTCGCGCTCATGGATCACAAGGGGATCACTACGAGGTCGGCAGTTCGATAGCACAATTGCCTGGGAGGATAAAAAGCAGCATTGACTCGGTACAGCGGGAGGCCACGGCTAGTCATTGTGAGATCCAGATATGCATTCAATTATATCAAACGAAGTTAAAAATTGAAGACAGATACATGGCGCATCTCTCAGGGATGGGATTGATCAACGCCAAGAGCTTTATCCTCTATTTATATACAACACACTGCGCGTGAGGCGCTGTGATAGAGATGCCTCAAAGTGCATACCGCGCCCTAGGTTCACTAGACATTCCATCTCTCCTAGGTTGCTGAAATGGTACCAGGCTTGTCTGAGAGGATAGCAGCATTGACTCATATGTCGAGACGTCACCGTAAGTTATTGCAAAGGTCAGATACGCTTTCAGTGACCTCTATCTACCGCTGGTGGAGTAGAATGTGATTCTATTATCAGTGACCAAAGGCACTGTTTTTCAAAATATCTAACACCAAGGAATTTAACCGAAGTGAAATGGTAGCTCTGTAATAAAACGAATCGCAGGACTGCACTTGTACTGACCTTGAAATTCCTCATTGATAAATATTTTTAAAAAAACCGAAAAGGCCCATATCGAAGAGTGTTGAACCCTTACGTGACGAACCAATCACAATTTTGTTGGTTATCTCATTCGAATTAGTACTGACGTAGTAATCAACAACTAGGATAGATGAGTCTGGCTAACGATGCTCGTCGCGGGGTTGATCCCTCACCTCCATTGCGCCCTTCGACAATCAATGACGAATGCCCTGCGGAACGTCCCAGCTTGGCTATCCTTGATTGCAAGGACCGTGAAGACAATCGTTCAATCACGCAATGAACGCGAGAAGACGAACTAATTGCTAGAAGTCAGAAGTCCCATTTTCTATAAATCCGGCATCAATAACTAATAAGAAATCCTTTCATTATTATTTGAGCTAACTTGTCATGTGGTCTGGTAAGGGCTCTTGTACAGCCCGATACACGTGTTTCGTCCTTACAGACTCGTCAGCCGGGCAGAACCCGTCGTCTGTCGATCTTTTCATAGTTAGTTCTCTCGGGAGCCTCACACTCCTTATAGAGAGTCATCGAAGACGAACGCTTTACACTCCATATCAAGTGAAACCTTCACCCAACACAGAGTGTTGCGCACTCGATTGCTCTTTGGCTGGTACTTTTATCATAATTATACCTTTATTTCGAGTGCTTCGTTTAGACCACGCTCAAATTTCAATAGATTTTTTCATTACTATTTGAGCCAACTTGTCATGTGGTCTGGTAAGTGCTCTTGCACAGCCCGATACACGTATTTCGTCCTTACAGACTCGTCAGTCGGACAAATCTTTTTATAGTCAGTTCTCTCGGGAGCCTAGCTCTATCAAATAATGATGAAAGGTTCTATTGAAATTTGAGCGTGGTCTAAACGAAGCACTCGAAATAAGGTATAATAAGAAATCGTAAAAACATCTTGACTACTACTACTGCGAACCTCGCGTCAACTAATCAAGATAAGTTTTTACAACTTACGCTTACTAATTATATATGCTAAAGTTCCTCGATCAGCAGAGCAAAAAAACACTGCAGAGTGATGTGCAAAACTTTCGCGTCAGGCGGGAGTGGAACACACATCTCACTCTATCCGGGAGCGCGTGCTCTAACCCGTTGCACTACTGACGCCCATGTTACACACCTCTCTTTCTACGCTGCAGCGCATCTATCTGTCAGTCGCCAACGGCCAACGACCTGGCCCGGTTAATCGGTATCGACACTGGACCCAGTCACGCTAACAGATATCGGGTATTGAAGATCAAATGGAATTATTTCTTATTTAACCGTTTAGCGATGGTAAAGTTTCATGGATATATGCGGCTGGCAGATCGATGCGCTGTAGCGTAGAAAGAGTGGTGTGCAAAATGGGCGTCAGTAGTGCAACGCGTTAGAGCACGCGCCCTCGGATAGAGTGAGAGGTGGGTTCGAGTACGCTTGACGTGAAAGTTTTGCAATCACTCTACATCACTGAGTATAGCTATAAAATCTTACCACAGATAAAGCGGTTGAGTAAGCGATAATTCCAAATAAAAAACAGTGTGATACAAGTCAAATAAAGTGGCAAAATAGAGTGGAAGTAGTAACGAATAATTACTTCGAACGCTATGAACTATTCTTGCAATCGTCACTTTATTCTTCAATTCAAACAGTAGAAAAAGTACCAAAAAGCGCTTAAAAAGCTCTAAAAAATTGTTTTCAGCAGTCCAGCTCAAAAGGCCGCTTGTGTATAGAACAGCACACGCTGTCCCCAAAGGGTTAACACACCCCAGACAGCGCGTATTTCAGTTTGACTGGAGCACGATATCTATGTGCACCAAAATCACTCTGTATTTCCCTGGGACACGAAGAATGCGGCCCTAGTAGGTTTTTCGGGGTAATCTCTATAATCCGCCTAACCAGAAAAGCGAAAAAACAGACCACAATCAAAAAAGACAACTGCTAAGGAGCGAAATGTGAAGGAGTGTTCCATGGAAAATGAACATTATAGCGTACATGTCATCGAAAACAAATATCTATTCACAAATTACCATTTACTACAAGCAAATAAAACGTCGGATGAACAGAAAATTGAATGAAGTAGAGGATAAGGAAAAAAGCAAGAAATTAATAGATCTGGCTACATATAATTCGATTTCAAAAAAAGCTAGGAATAAATAGGCATTTTGATAATACCATTTATAAGCTCAATTACATCGAGCCATTACTTCCAAGCTAACATTTAGTTCACAAGCATCATTACGGAAGCGTATTAATGGCTTTACTCACATTTTTATACAAGTAATAGGAGGGGTAACCAACTAGCGATGCAGTTTATCACGAAGTTCTTATAGAAGCACGATGGTGGATCAGCACCCTCCTTCCCCAACACTCCCACGTATACACCTGGGGTAGCGCCTAAGTCTGGCTATCCTTAACCCTTTGGCGACTGCCTTTGATAGGAACACGCGTCGCGATGGCCACTCGCGCCGTAGGAGCAGATAGACAGCATCTCCACTTCCATCCTGCCTGCCTCCCCGAGACGCGACGCCGCCATTATAGTAGCTGGGTGGGACCTAACATTGCGCGGCGTGGCACGTTTCGTAGCACGTGTTCCGCAAAAAGTTAGGATCGCAGGATCTGCCCGACCAACATTCTACGATATTCATCGAAAGGACGAAATTCTCAAGCAGTAATCGGATCAACATGCGTTATGATCGAGGACCTCTGTGGAGAATGAATACGAGGATACGAGTCGAATGTTAGAAGCACTGCGATCTGGACACCAAAATGTGACAGTTGCCTAGAAAAAGATAACACGTGTATAAACATATATATATATATATATATATGTATAATACATATATATGTATATATATGCACATATACACGTGTGTGTACACACGTATATACATATATCGCATACACGTATGTCACACAATGCATATATGCATGTGTATACACACGTATTCATGCATACAGAAGAAGCTAAAGCTCTCGGCGTTAATCAATACTTACGGAATGTGCCATGCAATCGACTCCATCTAGTATCGTTTGCGGTAATGAATGCCTATCTGGCCTTTGCAACGAGTCGCGGTGGCGCAACGATGTACTAATTCAGTGCTGCTTATTTTCCCAGAAAAGTTTGGTACCAAGCCAGCGACCTCGGAAAAATGTCAAGAACGATGACCCTTGAGGGTGGGATCGAACCATCGACCACGTGTGTATCGCACAGCACGTATAACCACTGCGCCACACGCGCTCTTGTATGTGTACACATACACTTGTACATATATATGCGCACATCAGCTACCCTTCAACTGAGCAGGATGCATGTTCTGTTCAATATAGTGCATTTCATCCAACTTTAATTAGAATAGGAGCACTTTTCTACGGAAAACGATGTCTGAGAGAAGAAAGAGTGGTTGCAGAGCGGTGGCCTTGGTGCTGCAGCGGTAGCACGTACGACCAGTGAAGGCGAAAGGCGGGTTCGATTCCCAGCTGAGGACGAATTTTTGCAAACCAATCGATCCTCTTGGTTACCAAGAAATTATGGCTTATTTGAGAGAAGAGAAAGGACAATTACACGTCGATGAGAAAGCATTTGAAAGCTGTGAGAAAAGTAGACAAATTTCTATTCCTATGGAAGTACACTTGGCGACAGAAGCATAGAAAATGTTGAGGAAAATATCCGTGGGAAAAACTTGTTCCGTATGTTTCATGGGTGGGCGGTAGGCGTAATTTAAAATGTAGACGACGTAGTACATACCACTCTGCCTTAAGGACGACGACTGCTTGACTACGCCGCAGCGATGCTGATTTTCTCAGTATTTGTTCAGTTACCCAAGTTTTTGAGAAGTTCAGAGGCTTGTAGTCTCAGAGAAAAGGCCTAGATCTATTGCATCTATTGCTTATAAACCTTTTTATACGGTGTCTCCGATGGTAAACACTGATGAACTTCTTTTCCGTTTAAAACGGCACGGATGAACAAACGATCCCCCTCTCGCTGGACAAGGAGCTTTTCATAAGAGCGTTGCTAATCATCCGAAAGCCTAGATCTCTGGCTAGCGTGCTACTCGGCCGTTTTTTTTGAACTACTCTTTTATAACGCTGTAAATTCTAAATAACATTATGTTGCAGCGCAATACTACCGCTACTGAGCTGTAAGCACTAAAGGCACATCATCGTGTAGAGGAAGTCTCATAGTATCAGAACCACACGTTTGAATCTCGAAATTCTTTCGAAAAGGAGAAAAAAATACCCAATCGAATGACAAGAATCGCACATCACATGTGACGTGCCAAGATAGTTCGACCGATCGATTATGGGCCGCCGCATCGAATCAGCGGCGGCACCCGCACTCTCCTGGCCGTAGATTAGCCGTGTAAACAAGCGCGCCAAAGATGTGAAACTCGACCTTATTTTCCCTGCTACACTGCAGTCTGACGGTCTTTCGAGAAAATAAGCATAGTTTTGGAATTGTGGAGACTTACGCTATCGAATGAGTACTAGTGGTCTGGAGGAAGAACTCTGTCCTATGAGAAATATGCGCGTGTGAAACACAAATGTTTCCTTTCGCTGAAGCGTTATAAAAAGACTATTTTCAAAAACAGCTACGTACTGAACTTGCACAGAGATTTAAGCTTTCAAATCATTACTAACACTCTTATGAAAAGTTCTTGTCGAGCGAGAAGGATCGTTTCTTCGTTCCGTGCCGCCCTAACGGAAGATGTGCCAGAAAAAAAATTGTACAAGTTTGTAATGAGAAAAAACCCGTCATTATAAAGATTGACGACAAATGGACGAAAAAATCTAGTTATCCTGATGAAATTCCGCCTTTCCGTTTGCCCTTTTGTTCGAAATACAATCCTTTGAACAATAAAACTCGGAAAAATATCCGGTATTGGCTCCAGAAAATCAGAATTTCATCTTAGTCGAACCCGAAGGTCTTAGACCCGTAGAAAAATATCTACAAATTACAATAGTTTCCATTTAAAGTCAGTAAAGTCCCTGCGAAATGAGACATGTTGACTTGTAGCTGACAGCTCCACTGCTTTCTGTGACTTCTGTAGAAGTCACGTTGTCGCTCTGGCGTTCGTGTCTAATATTTCGCTACTCCTCTTCATCAATCATTGTGATTCTTTTCAGCAATAAGTCTAGTCCTAGCCTTGGGGTTGGCTGACCAGTCCCATTGCGGGGTGGGGGTGGAGGGTCGTGATCCCTCTCAGCAGTCACTATGGAGGTCGGCAGCGATGTCATCAGCGATGTGAAGCCGTCGCAAGGAGGATTAGTCGCTTCCGCTACCATGACGGTTCCAATGTATCATAAGGTACGAGATTTAGTTGAGTTAGTATTCTGTCATCAGGATGCATTTTTCAACCTTTTCAGGCGATTTTTCATCAGACCTTGAGTCATCATTCGATAGCGTAGTTCTCGACGATTTCAATGATATGCTTCGTTTTTGGAAACGCCTTCTCAGAGCCACGTTAACCTGCGTTTCTTAACTCCCATCCGCACACTTTAGGCGACAAAAATGCGTCCCCTAGTGTGAAACTGAATCTCGTTTTCCTTGCCACAGCGCAATATAAACGCTTCCTTGGAAATAAGCAGACCATTGGAATCGTCGAGATTCAAACTATCGAATGATCACTGATTGTCTGAAGGAAAGAGGGAAAAAAGGCTTTGTCCTTAACCCTTTAAGGTCGATTGCACAGAGCGCAACTCTCAAGAGACGCGCGATTTTCGTTATTCAGTGCGGATTTTTCCTTCCGTTCAGAAGTGAAACCCTAGGTTTTTGTGTCACCTGATATTCCATGATTTTATCTACATGGTCATATATCTCGCACATATTTAACTCTCCTATTCGATAAGAAAGTGGTGTGCAAAATGTAATTTCTTTTCGCTCTTTCAGCGTTCTTTGGTAACCTTCTAAGACAACCAGGTACACCATCGAAATCCTTGAGATCTGAGCTATCGAATGATTGGTAAGAATTTGGCGATGAGCCATATATAAGCCCCAAATGAACAAATGAAGCAAATTGAGTGTGAAACGTAATCTTATTTTCGCTGCTACAGCATAATGAAAGGCTTTTTTCAAAAAAACAAACGCATTGTTGAAATTACAGAGATTCAAGCTTTTGAGTGATTACCGAGTGTCTGTGAGAAAGCTTCGCTCAGCGAGAAAGGCCTCCAAACAATCATGTGCCTAGCGGGTACAATGCGATCTTCAATGGTCAAAGGTTGGAAAATGCACCCTGATATCTGAGAAGCACCTTTTGCTGCTTATCTGTCACAGTTTCCAGTAGAAATTGAAGTAAAAGTTATAGAACTCGGATGAGAATTTCACGCAGAAGCTCCATATATTGTGAAAATTCAGCATTAACTTTTCTCAAATGTCTTGAGAATTTAGAGCGTTGTGCATAGTCGGATGCTGCTCAGTCAACTCGCTGAACTTCGTGATGATTCTCGTCTCTGTGATGTTGCCTTGGTTGTCAAGGTGAGTGACGTGGATCATCGGAAAAAGTAGCTTGAAACGACTTGCATCGTAGAAGGAGTGGGAACAGAACAGGGCCACCGGAGCGAAATAGGTTAGCACTCGCCCCTGGAAAGGGTGAAATGTGGGTTCGATTCCCGTCCGAGGCAAGTTTTTGCATGCGACTCAACATTATTGGGTTTACATCTTGGAACGACTGTCAATTAACCTCGGCTTCATCTAGTAGCTCACTGTTTTTTCTTTGATTCGCCAAAAACGCGGCTATTTCAGCTCAGTTCATTTGAAAAACAAAAATCTCGGGGGTATCGCCTTCTTTAGAGCCTCAAACTTGGGTAATTACAATTGTTAGCGTAGAGCAATTTGAAGACTGTTTCAGGGAACTCGAATCAACGCGCATCGGCTAGTACTTACTGCATGTTCCAACTATTTTAAGGCGATGTTCACTAGCGAAATGGCGGAAAGCCGATTACGTAAGTTCAAAATTTTGTTGTAGATATCTTTTGTAATCTGTGTAGATCTTTTGAAAGTCCTTTTTCCTCTAGAAGAGATAGAAATGGTCGACATGGATGCCTTTACACTGGATGCCCTGGTCAATTTCTGTTACTCTGGCGAAATAAAAGTCACCGATCAGAATGTCCAGAGTCTTCTTCCGGCTGCATGTCTTCTGCAATTAAATGAGGTTCAGGTCAGAACATGGGTTCGACATCCTTTGTACTTCTTAGTTACATCGGTTTTATCGCTAATTTTCTCTTTAAAGATTTTCTAGCTTCAAGGAGGCTGATAAAAATTTTTATTCAGGGCTTACGTATCAAGTAATCGTCTTTCTCAAAGCCGGTTGATCTGAGTGACGGTCCCTAAACGTTCACTCACGCCGTGGTTTTAGAGCGACTGAGGACCATTGACTCGAATTAGTCGGCTCTGAGGAAGACGTACACGTTGATTGAAACTCTAGCCTATTAAGATCGTCATCAATCTCCTGTAGACTTAGAAATCGGAGGAAAAGATATTGATTGCTTGCGTCGGAGCTGGATAATGGATGTCTCCATGGATGAAAATCCTTGTCGATCTCGCCATTGTTTTCCCTTTAGGCAGTTGAGCCAAGCCAGCTTGATCTGCAAATTTTAGGAGGTATGTTGTGAGTTTCTAAAGAAGCAGTTGGATCCGTCGAACTGTTTGGGTATCCGAGCTTTCGCCGATACGCATGCTTGCCGAGAACTGTTACGTAGCGCCGACAAGTACACTCTGCATAATTTTCAGGTATTTTATTAACCATTTGATTGTTTTGCGCAACCTTTTTTGCGGTGCTTTTTTCACATGCGATCTTCAGGATGTCGTTGGTACCGAGGAATTTCATCTTCTCCCCGTAAACCAGTTGATAGAGCTTATATCTAGTGAGGAGCTTCATGTGCGGTCAGAGGAGCACGTAAGTACACATTCTTTGATAATGTTGTATATTATTCAAAGAAAAGGACGAAGCTCTTGGCGTCGATCAATCTCTAAGAGATGTGCCATGTTTTTATCTTCATTGAGCTTCGTTTGAGTTAACTGAATAGCTATTTGTCTTTTACAATCACTAGCCATGGCCTGCCGATAAATGGGAGTTACTGCTGCTATCCTCCCAGACAAGTTCAGTACCATTACATCGACCTCAGAGCGATGGAAGAATGCTTGGTGAGCCAGCCTTAAGCACGGAATCGAGCCATTGATCATCGATTGATCAACTACTAATGTGTCTCAGAGCACTTCTTACCTCTTTATCTTACGCTCTCTTTAATTACCTAAACAATGTTGTAGAATTTTTCGTTCTTAGCACGTTTTGTTTTTGATTTTTTCTTAGGTTTTTTGCGGCAGTTGTACAATGGGTACGCTTTGATTTGCCGTCCAGAAAGCAGTATCTGTCCAAGGTATACAAGTTTGTCAATCTTTTTTTTTCTTAGACATTTCCTTGTCTACAATTGCTTATAATCATAAATAATCGTGATTTTTAACTTAGTTATTGGAACATGTTCGACTTCCA